CGCCCGTGCAACATCGACCTACCATAGAAATCATCTCTGTTGCTTTCAGCCAACCCACAAAGACACCCAATTTGCCAAGACCCCCCGTCACCTTCAACAACTTGCGCCTCGACGCATGCTCTGCCTGCCGCGGGAACGCGGTGCGGAGAGCGAGCAACATAGAGTTCCGCAGCTCCCACACGATGTCGCCCCTAGGGCCACAGAGACAGATGCCGTAGCCCCAGCATTCGCCGTGGTAGAACTCCCCGTCGTCCGAGGACTCGTACTTCTCGTCTTCGGCGTCGTCGGCGTACGTCCTGTGCATGAACGACCAGCGGTCCTCGATCGCCTGCGCCAGGTCCGTCTGGGAACCCCCGATCGCACGCATGTACGACACCAGATCCCGAGCATCCTCTGCAGAGGCCTGTATGTCATGGCGGAGGTGGACGACGCCAGGCAGCGGCCCAGGCTCGGCGTGCATGCTGGATGCGAGCGGCTGCAATGCGCAGCAGTCACGGCACAAAGCTTGGCGCCAACCTGGAGAATGCTCAGCTCTGAAATCATGAAGTGCCTTAGCGTCTGCTTTCTCAGCTGCGATGCGGTGGGCCACTGCTGACTTTCGAATTCCATTCGCAAGAGCAATCGTCTCATCCGTCGTGTATTGGTGCAACACTGCGTCCTCCATGAGCCTGTCTAGTGCAGGGTCCATAGCTTGCCCCCCGCCAGCCGCCACTCTGTTCGCGAGGGACGCCTTGAACTTCTGGCGCTCCACGTCCCTCCGCGATGGCCCAAAGGCGTTGCCCCTGCGGCCGCTCCGCCTCCGCTCAGCGGCTTCGCGGCCTTCCTTGATGCAGGTCTCGAGGAGCTCGTCGCCGACAGTGTCCTGCAGCGCGCGGTAGAGCCTCCCGACCTCCCTGAGGTCGTTCGATCCCGAATGCCTCACGAATGCCCTCCAAGCTCCGCCGCCTGAAAAAATAAAATTAAAAAAAAAAAAAAAAGAAAAAAAAAAAAAAAAAAAAAAAAAAAAAAAAGAAAAAAAAAAAAAAAAAAAAAAGTAAAAAAAAAAAAATAAAAAAAAGAAAAAAAAAAAAAAAAAAAAAAAAAAAAAAAAAAAAAAAAAAAACAAAAAAAGCCCAGCGGAGGGGGCCTCGCTGGAAGGTCGTCGCCCTGGTCGACGTTGGATGGTCGGTGGCCAGCGGGGCCGCTGAGAGGCACTTCTCGATGTTGACGCACTGCCGTCCCCATCCATCTGCTGCTCAGGTCCATCGTGCATGGCTGGGGGCACTGAACGTGCTTCGTAACGATTCTCCTGAGGTGGCTGTTGTCGACCTCGAGCCTGTCCGTGTTGAGGTGGATAACCAACGCGTGGACGAGCAGCTTCAGCCGCGCCACAACTGTGCCGAGGTCGTTGGCTGCAAGGAACCGCCGAGACCGTGCGTCCAACTGGCGCGCGGGCGTGGCCTGAATGGCACCCGCCAGCCCCGGTTGGGCGAGCACCATGAAGAGACTGAAGGGAGGCTGCGTGTGCGGCAGCGCGAGTAATTTCTCGATGAGAGCTCCAGCGGCACACAACCCTGTGAATACGTCAACCTTTAGCTTGTTCGTGAGCTCTGTCTCGCGGAGCACAAGCCAAATTGTTGGACAGAAGAGCAGCGTTCTCAAGCGGCGGAAAGCTCTAGTCTCGAGGTCGCCACGGCTGTGCACGATGATCGGGTAGTCCCGCAGGATGCCTGAAGTGCCACTCCTGGCCCGACGCGCAGCCGCAGCTCGTTCTCTCTGCTCCCATTTTTTTGACCCGATGAATAATTCTTCTGCCTGCATCGTCTGCACGACGCTGAGTATCATCTTGAGCGCGACGACCTGTGAACACGGGGCGCACCCGCGGGTGCCAGACAGCCAGTCCTGTGCGATCCTCCTCTTTTTCGCCACCTCCTGCGCCCACGCTGCAATTGGCGCCTTGCCCCTGGGGTCGTAATTGGGATCGTCCTGGGCGGCGCAAGCAAAAGCAAACGAACGCGCACGCGTGCTCCAAACACCCCGCACTTGTGCCTGCAATGGAACAATTGTTTTGCGGTGTGTTCGGAGCACGTTGTGTTTTCGTTTGGGCTTGTTTGTGCCGTGCCAATCCTCGGCCGCCGCTGCCTCCTCAGCCCCCGCCTCGTCCATCAGCACGGGCAGGTCGGCCCCAGCAGCGGGCGCATCGACTGGGGCTGCGTGGACATGCCCGCCGGCGCGGCGACGGAATAGGTTGTAGGCGTCCTTGAGAAGATCCGTCGTCAGGAGCAGAGGGATGGCGACGTCGCAGCAGGCCTCGTCGCCGCCCATCCACTTCTTCCTCTGGTACATCGAGAAGTTACGATACGAAATTGCTCTGGCGATTCCACGGGATACCAACTCGTAGAGCTGGTCCTGGTCGAATGGCTCAGCTGGGGGCACATAGATCTCGAGGCGCGGGGAGTCCCAATTCCCTGTCGCCAATGTCTCCAGCAAAGCGCGCACCACCGTGTGCGTGTCTGCCTTCCTGTTGATGAACCAACGTAAGATGAGCTTCCTGCGCTTCTCAACCTCCAAGCTGGGCCGCTCATGGATGATCGTGCACCTGGACCGCAGCGTGTCCACGAGACACTGACGGAATGTATCCATATGAGCTTGGATGTTGAGCGATAATACTAAATTGATCATTCCACTGATGGCGCCGTTGAACCGCCATGTGGCGAGGATTCGGGCTGACTGCAACATGTGTTGCTCGCACGGGAATAACAGCGGCGCCCATTGCGAAAATTTGTACATCATGTGTCGAGATATCCTCCGTTCTACAACAAGGTTGCTCGGGTGGCGGCCGACGGAGGCCACCCGCGTGCACGTCTCGAAATGGCATTCTGGTAGTGTCGCTGCCGATGTCTCCCGCAGCGCGGCAAATATACACCCTGGCGTATTTCTGTGCAGAGGCTGAATATGCGAAGCGACCACCCCAGTCATAATCGTGTAGCGCGTGTGGCCAGCATCGTCATCAGTGCCCAGTAGCATTGCATATTCTTGTTGCGTCTGGAACAACTTGGTGGGGACGCTCGCCCTGTTGGTCGGCAGGAGGGCCAGCACGCAATTCGGCAACACACCGTGGTCAATGTCGAGCTCTTTGTAGCGGCCCCTGCTGCCTCTGAGCGTGAGAGGTGTCTCGTCGTACCCCACTGAATCTACCACGAGAAGGTTGCGGACCCGAACATCATTGAACATTGCACTCGCCAGCGTTCTGCGGCGACACCTGTCGATCATGAATGTGGACGCCGCCAGTAGTCGTCCAAGCTTGGCCACTGTATTGCGGCCCACCTGTGTGAAAGCAGCTTGGGCCGTCCGGGTAGCAAATGACAAATCGATAGCAGAAGTGCCAAACATAATATCATACACATTGATGGTGTCGTCGTCTTGATCAAGTGTGGCTGACTGGCTACGGGATCGGCATAGCGCAAGTGCGCGGCCCACATGGTAGATCAACGGTGGCTGGAGCAGTATTGTCGCAGTGTCATCATCTGCTTTGACCTCTGGTGGAGCCTTCAGTGCTGCTAAGAAATCATGGAGGTCCTGTCTCTCGAGCCGTCGTCGCTTAGCTGCTTCTTGAGCGGCCTGCCTCGCCACTGCAAGGTCGCCTCCTCTCCGAACAGGCCTCTGGATAATCTGGTCAGCCATTCCAGTAATCAGAACACACACGAAAATAACAGAGCGCAGTGATACATTCACACAAGAAAAAGGCCCTGAGGCCATATGAAATCAGAACACACTGATGACACGGAGTGCAAACACGAAGCTTGCGAAACGTATATGGATGAGCAACTGAATCAGCCAAAACGGCTATGGAAACTGGGCGGCGACACAGGCGATGCTGGACGGACGTGTCAACTCGTATCGTGGCCCAGCCCCCGCACGCTTGATGGCATCGGCGATGCGAAGGCCCTTCGTTGTACACAGGCACGCGGTGGAACGGCACACCCGCGCATAACACATGCGGCTCCGACCACGAGGGGGGGTGATCATCCGAGGGGGGCAACCGAAACGAACCGAACTACAATTGCGAAATACAACGAACAATGCCGCGAACGGACAAGAATCTGCACGAGGGACCTTCGGGAACGCACTTGCCAACCAGAAACATCCTCACAAGGGGGGCGGGCGTTCATCACCAGCCGCAGAAGTAACAGAAACTGGCATCATTCTAATGATACGTATACAACGCAATCGACAACTGAGGCGGAAACACCATTCAACAATGCATCTATAGAGATCATTGGGGCGACTGCTTCACAGACAATGCAAACGGCCATGCAAACAATACGATTCACCACTGCGTGGATTATACCCGAAGCCCTGCTCTGACTGTCTCGGCGGGGGCGCAGCGAAGCGAAAAGAAATGCACGGTGCTCTCTCGGGCGTTCTGAAGCCAATATATTCATCCTGCCGTTGCTGCTGGCCCCCCTCTTCCTTCCATTAGTCTCCTACTCCTCCTCCCCCCCCCCCCTTCACTTATTCCACGAAAAAGGAAGGGGTGTATATTGTGGGAGGGAGGAGGAGGAGGAGTGGGTTTGTATCGCACCAGGCCGCTCTACATGGAATAGTTGATCGAACACCATGGCTTTTTAAACATTATCCGCATGTGTTTTTTTTGAGTATGTTGTAACGTTATTTGAAAACATATTCGCGGAGTATTTTCTAACCTTTTGGAACGAATTCCCACTTCTGCAGAGTGTAGCGACCTGGTGCGATATAAGTTTAGGTTCCCTTCAAACCTATGGCGAGCTTGGCTAGGAGAAGAAACAATACACAAACATTAACTATCGGAGGTACGAAATGATTTCTCGGATCGGCGCTGGACTCCCCCTCCCTGGCACCAGGCGGGTCCAGCGCAGCTCCCAACAATCCGCGCGGAACTTCGGCCCTTTATGCTTATGCCGCGTCTCGGATTCGATTGGTAATCCGTCCCCACCTCGCTCCTCCTGTCTTCTCCTAGATTCTCCTCCCCCTCCTGCGGCCTCGCCATCCGGCCCCCGCAGCGTCGCCCGGAGGCCATCGCCCCCAGCCTTGCTCGCCGGGGAATCCATGCGCCACGCCTCCGGAGCGCCCGGGCGGCGCGGCCAGCTCGTGCGACCGCGGGGAGGGGGGAGCAGCCCGGAGCGCCAGGCGACACGGCCAGGCTCTTGGGACCGCGGGGTGGGGGCGGGGGGGGGATGCGCCAGCGAGCTCGATCCAGGAGGGGAGAGAGGAGGAGAGAGGAGGAGGAGGAGGAGGAGGAGGAGGAGGAGGAGGAGGAGGAGGAGGAGGAGAAGCAGGAGGAGAAAAAAGGAGAGGTAAAAAGGGTGGGAGGAGGATGGTTGCGCCACACAACAGTGAGGGGAGGGATTAGAAGGATTGTTAGTAGAGGAGGTTAGGAGGTGGTCAGGAAAAAATGTAAAGAATGGAATTTAAGTAGTAGGTCCAAACCTCATCCGAAAACATGTATTAGGGTTTGGGCTCAATAAAAGGTTAGAAGACGCCGCTTTCGTGGGGTGGACAAAAGAGGTTTTTCCGCTGTGTGCGACAACCATCGTGGGGTCGCCCAGACGCATCTTCTTTCCTTCACTAAAAAAGAGAAGCACGAATCCTCATTCTGACGGGGACTCTTCTTCCCCCTGCAGAGCATCTTAGCGTTTGCCTTGCCGAGACTCCACCTGCAATCTCCATGGTTAAGTGGGAAGCCTTGGAGTCTCCAGATGTTGACGTGCAGCAATTAGAGGTGCAAGTTTCCAAGTTCGCGGACACGAGTACAGCAAGTGGCGGCAAGACGGTGGTAAATCATCATGTGGGGAGGGCAGAGTCCCCCAGCTTGCCAGACGATAAAGTAGCCCCCAAGCTCCGGCCCCCCCTGCCCCAGCCCCCGGACTGGGCACCGAGGTCTCGTTGGACCCCCTCCGAGGCCTGGTGCTGGTGCTGGTTCTGCTGTTCGCCACGACGGGCTCGATGACAGCCAGATCCGGGACTTGCTGTCCATGGACGACTTGCAGTTCGCAGCCGTTCGTCCTACGCAGCAGCGTCCTCGCACTGAGGCTCAGCATGCTGCGCAACGCGACGACCTTTTGGTAGTCTCGAAGGAGGCCGAGCAGGAGCACGACGTCCTCAAGTTCAAGGTCCAGAAGGCCACCAACTCCCGCGAGGAAGGGCGCCAGCAGCTGGCGCAGTATGTGGCGCGCGTGCAGGGGCTGCAGGGGGAGCACGCCGAGCTGGTGGCCAAGAAGTAGGCGGCGGCCAAGCACGCTGCCGAGGCCTTTAACCAGCTCAGCGGCAAGGGCGGCGACAACAATGGAGCTGAAGCTGCGGCGACAACACCTCCTCGTGGCGCTGCAGATCAAGCAGCAGTCCTTCGCTCGCAGCTCTCAGCTCGTCGATGTGCAGGCGGCATGCTCCAGGATTTCGACATGTCATTTCTCAACGCAGCGCCCACGTCGCCGCCACCAAGGCGGCGCAGGCGCCCGCTGGGGCGCCACCCGTTCGTGCTGCTCCTGCTATTCCTGACGGTGGCGCCCCTCATACTGCTGAAAATTCCCGAGTTGAAGCAGCCTCGGGTGCACATGCGGCAGGCCAGCCTGAGCCCAAGGATGACATGGACCTCGCCTTCGACGATCTCGACGGCCAGTGGATCGACGACCTCATTGCTAGCGGTGCAGATGAGGATGTCGAGGGCGACGGAGCTGCAGCGGCCCCCAGCCACGGCATCGCGCGTTCGGCATTCCAGACAGCCTTGCAGGACGCATTCGACCGCGCCAAGAAGCAGACGAGAAGAAAGGGACCCCGAGGGTAGCAATCCCAGTGAGGCTCATGCACGTGCCTCGCGCGAATGGTCTCTTTGCCACATGCAGTTTTACATAGCGCGCGGAGCTTCGCATGTTCCTCTCCTCCCCTCATGCTGCCGTCCTGGACATTCGGAAGGCGCACGCCATGGACTCGGATCTCCAAGAAGCCGTCCTGGGGGCCCAACAGGTATGTCTGTGTGTCAAGAGTTGTTTGAAACTCTGACGTCTTGGAAATCTGGCAGACTTGAGTTTCTGCATCTGGGAGGCGCGCTGCCTGGATATGTCAAGATTGGCAGCATCTACCTCCACCGAAGTAGCAGTCTCGATCCTCAGAACTGGAGCAACTTGTGTGAGCTCGGCAGTGTGCTGAAGCTTGGCAATATGCGATTCGTGTGGTGTGAAGACGTCAGTCTCGAACCTAACATTCTCGAGTTCAGCGGCTGCCCAGCCGCTCTGGGCTGCCCAGCCGCTCTGGGCCCAACCACCGTGTCCACCTGGGAAAGCAGGTGTCGTCCTGCACGTGATCTTGCACCTGATACGCGCGTGCGTGCGCGTGCTGTGTAACGTGCGCACGGCCCCGCACTACCCTGTCAAGATGACCATTCGGATGAAGCGCACGCCCAATCTGGCTCGCATGGCGAAGGCACCCAAGAGGTTTCCGCTCCAAATGCCCCTGGGACACCGACAGCCTCCTGATGAAACTACACCAAGTGGTGCAATCAGTCTGGGGGTGTGGTTCGCTCTCTCTTGGGACGAGCTTGCGAGGGCGACCAAGTCGAGACTTCTATACAGCAGTTGCGGCTGAGGATCACGTGAGCCATCGCTTTTCTCGGGCCTCTGGCTGGGGGCTGTATGGGCCGACTGCGTGCGAATTCATGCAGGCACTCTGGGCACCCTCCTCGGAGGTGGACCGAGCGCTCCGCACTTGGCCGACTCGGGTGTTATGTGCGGGGCGAACTACCCTGCGACGTACCCAACCCTTTTTATACACGTGGCGTTTATATTCAGGACCACTCAATGCTGACTGGCATTCTGAAGGACCCGCAGTGAGCCAGAAGAGCACCCAGGAGTGAAATCCGAAGAGAGCATCAAGCAGAGGAACAGCAACCATACAAAATGAAAGCACAAGGGCGTTGAAAGAAACACAAAAGCAGGGGGCGGCAAGCCCACGAACGTGGCGACAATTGCGCAGATCGCAAGCCCCCCAGAGGGGCGGCGAGGTACCGAGGTGATCCGCGTGGGACGTACCTCCGCTGGGCCTCCCAGGAGCCCACGAAAGTGGCGACAATTGCGCAGATCGCAAGCGCCCCAGAGGGGCGGCGAGGTACCGAGGTGATCCGCGTGGGACGTACCTCCGCTGGGCCTCCCAGCAGCCCACGAAAATGGCGACAATTGCGCAGATCGCAAGCCCCCCAAAGGGGCGGCGAGGTACCGAGGTGATCCGCGTGGGACGTACCTCCGCTGGGCCTCCCCAGGGGAAGGAGAGCCCACCGGAAGTGGGAAATTGCGCAGATCGCAAGGCCCTCGTCCTCGTTTCCAGATCTGCCGAGGTGATCCGCGTGGGACGTACCTCCGCTGGGCCTCCCAGGAGCCCACGAACGTGGCGACAATTGCGCAGATCGCAAGCCCCCCAAAGGGGCGGCGATGTTACCGAGGTGATCCGCGTGGGACGTACCTCCGCTGGGGTTCCCAGCAACCCACAAAAGTGGCGACAATTGCGCAGATCGCAAGCCCCCCAGGGGGCGGCGAGGTACCGAGGTGATCCGCGTGGGACGTACCTCCGCTGGGCCTCTCAGGAGCCCACGAACGTGGCGACATTTGCGCAGATCGCAAGCCCCCCAAAGGGGCGGCGATGTTACCGAGGTGATCCGCGTGGGACGTACCTCCGCTGGGGTTCCCAGCAACCCACAAAAGTGGCGACAATTGCGCAGATCGCAAGCCCCCCAAAGGGCGGCGAGGTACTGAGGTGATCCGCGTGGGACGTACCTCCGCTGGGCCTCTCAGGAGCCGACGAACGTGGCGACAATTGCGCAGATCGCAAGCCCCCCAAAGGGCGGCGAGGTACTGAGGTGATCCGCGTGGGACGTACCTCCGCTGGGCCTCTCAGCAGCCCACAAAAGTGGCGACAATTGCGCAGATCGCAAGCCCCCCAGAGGGTGGCGAGGTACCGAGGTGATCCGAGTGGGACGTACCTCCGCTGGGCCTCCCAGCAACCCACAAAAGTGGCGACAATTGCGCAGATCGCAAGCCCCCCAAGGGGCGGCGAGGTACCGAGGTGATCCGCGTGGGACGTACCTCCGCTGAGCCTCCGAGGAACCCACGAAAGTGGCGACAGTTGCGCAGATCGCAGACGGCCCGAGAGAAGAGGAAAAGGGAACACAGGAGACAGGAGAGAAGGAAGAGAGGAGAGGAGGAGGTGGAGAACACACTGCTCTATTCGAAACGAGTACCCAACACAACAGGAGGGTTGGGAAAAAACACGTTGATCCTGAACTGGTTCCTGGGTTCAGTGGGCGCAAAGATGTTGTCGAGCTCCGTTGGGTCACCCCTGAGCGTCTTGACCCTCCCGCGTTCTCAAGGATCAGTGATGCGGCCACCTGGTGGAAGGAAACTGCCTTGCTGTTGCGTAAAATCTCGAGGCTGGAAGGCGTGGCCGAGTCTTGTCAACGCATGCACGCCACGCGCAAGTTCCAGGGTTCCCCGCAAGTGACCGGCCAGTATGGAGCGCAGTGTCGTGTCATGGTGGGCCCTATGGTGCATCCTGACATGTGCGTCTTTCTTGCCAACGTCCTTTCGCAGATGGCCGACGACCAAGCCCTCCAATGAGCTTAGCAATGGGCGGTACATCAGACAGCTGGGTGGGAGGAGTGGGCACGACTGCGCTGAGTCAACGGCCAGAAACTGCTCTTTTAAAGCACCTCAAGCTACCAAACGCACGGCAACCCTCGTCCCTCGTGCCGTATGCTCTGCGAGCGCAGACTGTGCTGCGAGCCCAAGGCTTGGAGCCCCAATGTCTGAATCCACGGTCCCGACCCAGCCGGCTCCTACAGATGTTGTTCGCTGTGACCTCCGCGAGGCCTTCGCTTCTCGGCGCCGCGTACCTCTCGTGGGCTCGTGCCCCCCCCTCTCGCGCTACCAAGTGGGGCAAACTGGTCGGGGGCAGGCTAGCGAACGGAGGATTCAAGTTGGACGGTGTCGTTCACTGCGTCGAGAGGCTCGAGGGACATGCACATGAATCCCACCAGCCCTCTGGGCGCCGGTGGTTTAGGGAGTTTCCTCTTCCACCCCTCATTCTTCCCCTTCGGGGAGGGGTTTATCACTGTTCCCTATTAGTAAACACCCCCTCCCCCAGGCGACTGGGGGCCAACCAGGGTCCATGACAACCCCCCCCACCATCCCATTAAAAAACAATACATTACTCCGACGGAAGAACCCCACATAAGAATCCTCTGGGCGAATCTGGAAAAAAACTTCCCCGTCGCCCTGTGGTTGGTGAGGCGTCTGGCATGTCCTTTCTGCGTATTATATCCTTCGTTGGCGCGGGCCCCCCTTCCACTCCTTCCGTTGTCCCCATCCTCGCCCCCCTGATTGTTCCGCGCCCCGCCACCTCCTCCCCTTCCTGTTGCATGAGCGCGCATGTCGATGTTCCTCGGCGCCGTCGCCGCCACGGCCAGCACAGGCGCGTTCTCTACTGGTCACGTCGCGCAGCCGTTGGGACAACCCCGCGGGCCAGGCTGTCGGGACAACCCCGCGAGCCGCTGGCGCGCAAGACCAAGCCGATGGGACAACCCCGCGGGCTTCGAGCGAGGCGCAGCCGCGCTCAGGCGGAAGGCAGCACGAAACCCAGCTCTGCCGCGAGCTGCTTCGCCTCGCTGGACAAAAGTCTTTGTCGAACTCCAGGAGCGCTTCCGCAGGCGGGGCGGCCGCACTAGGGCCTCTCGCGGCGCGTGGCGAGGATCAGCATGTTCGCAGAGTTGGGCGGGGGAACCTGGACGTTCGAGGTGCGCCACCATGTCGTCCGAACATTGCCCGTGTGGCCGCGTCCTGACTTCGCGCAGTCGATGGTTGACCCTTGCGCCAGCGTCTGGCTGCGGACAGCGTGGAGGTCAGGTAAGACGCTGTGGGTCTGGGTGAACCCGAGCGGGCGCACGATGTGCGCCCCGAGATTTGCATGTGAGTCCTGTTCACCCTGCTGACCTCAGCAAGCTTCCCGACCCGCGCCTCGGCTGGCGTCGTGTCGGGTTGGGCGCCCCTTCGCAGCACTCGGCGCCCTTGAGGCGCGGACGATTCCTAGTTGGTCAAAAATGTGGTGGAGTGCGTTCTGATCGCGAAGAACCCAAAAGACGACAGTTACAGGGTTTGGATGACCCGCTCGGATTACCAACATGAAGCGCGGGCCCCATAGGGAGGGGTTCCCGCCTGTGACTTCCTCGCAATTCACTCACAGACGAGGCTCCCGCCTGAGACTTCCTCCAAATTCAGGCCTGGGGAGCTCAAAAGTGACGACAGTTACAAGATTCCGATGACCCGCTCGGATTACCAACATGATCTGCGGGCCCCATAGGGAGGGGGCTCCCGCCTGAGACTTCCTCACAAATCACTCAGAGACGAGGCTACCGCCTGAGACTTCCTCCAAATTCAGGCTTGACGAGCCCAAAAGTGACGACAGTTACAAGATTCCGAGAGACGGGATTACTGATCTGCGGGCCATAGGGAGGGGGCTCCGCCTGAGACTTCCTCACAAATCACTCAGAGACCGACGCTCCCCTAGATATTGTTTTCCAAATTCAGGCTTGACGAGCCAAAACGTGAACGAAGTTAAGGTTCCGATGACCGCTCCGCTCGGGATTACCAACATGCTGTTGCGGGGCCCATCGGGAGGGGGCTCGCTGAAGTTCTCCGGATTCAAACAGACGACGCTCGCTGAGACTATCTCAAATTTCAGGTTGAGGAGCTCCAAAAGTGACGGACATTACAAGTTCGATAACCGCTGTTCGGGAATTATCAACATTGATTGGGTGGGCCCATTGGGAGGGAGCTCCGCTTGACTTTCCCGATTCATCACAGACGAGGCTCCCGCCTGAGATTCCTCCATTTTCAGGCCTGGGGAGCCCAAAAGTGACGACAGTTACAGGGTTCCGATGACCCGCTCGGATTACCAACATGATCTGCGGGCCCCATAGGGAGGGGGCTCCCGCCTGAGACTTCCTCACACTTTACTCAACGATGATGAGGATGAGGATGATGAGTGGTGGTGAAGATGAGTGGTGAAGAGGTTGATGATTGATTGTGGGTGGTGGTGGCGATGATGATGTTTGAATGAGGATGATGCCGATACCGATGATGACGATGATGTGATGTATAGATGATTGATGATGATGATGAGATGTATCGAGAGACGTGTAGCGAGCGTGGAGTGATGCTGTGATGATGATGATGATGATGAGTATGTGAGTGACTAAGCATGTGAGAGAGCATCATCGATGATGCTGATGAGGTTGATGATGAGAGAGTGCGAGTGAGTGTGAGTGTGGTGTGTGTGTGTGTGTTCCTGTTCCTGCGCGGGGTGTCCAGAGAAAACAAGAACCCCACTTTGGATGTGGGGAAAACACACTCTGCCTTCAAATTCGGAATATGCGCAGCCAAACCCGATGCGCCCCCCCCCCCCCCCCACCTCCTGTCAAAAAAACAATTCAGAAGTACACTTGGCGGCGGCGGCGGCTGCGGGGCTTTTTGGCGGGCCGGTGGGGCTCGGCTGCGGGGTCTGCGGCGGGCGCGGCGGCTGGCGGCGGCGGGCGGAGGGGGGGGCGTCGGCGGCGGCGGCGGCGGCCGCGGCCCGTGGGGTGGCGCAGCAGCGCGGGCGGCGGGCAGCGCGGCGGCGGGGCGGCGGCGGCGGCGGCAGGCGGCGGCGGCGGCGGCGGCGGCGGCGGCAGGCGGCGGCGCGGCGGCGGCGGCGGCGGCGGCGGGCAGCGGCGGGCAGCGGCGGCGGCGGCGGCGGCGGCGGAGGCGGCGGCGGATTGGCCCCCAGTAGCTGCCCATCCAAAGACGACTGCTGAATATGCTGAGGCTCGGGCCAGACTCAGGTGCTACGTATGTGTTGGGAGGGCGGGTGGGAGTGAGCGAGACGGCTTGCGGGCGGGGAGGGGGTCTTGACCCATCCCCCTACCCCTTCCCCGTGGACCTGGACGGGAGGGACCGCGAGGTGTCAGGGCGCCCAAAAAGGCCTCGGCGAGAAAGCCAAACTCATTGGTTTTACTCGGGTGTGGGCCCCATGTTGGCCTCTCGGAGGGGGGGCGAGACGAATTCATGCTCAGCGCTTCTTTGATAGATCTCCTCCAAGATGGCCCAAAGAAGCGCCCAGGAGGCCCCAAGAGGTCCCAAGATGGCCCCAAGATGGCCTCAAGAGGCCCCCAGGAGGCCCCCAGGAGGCACCCAAAAGACTCCCAGGAGGCCCCAAGAGACCCCCCACAGGCACCTCAGATGCTCCAAGAGGCCTCGGTGAGAATGCCAAAACGGCCTCGGCGAGGAAACCAACATATATTTTTTTCGCGTCGCGCACCTGCGTCTGTCAACACTCCCTAACTACTGCCGTGCGCGGGGCGGGCCTGCGCACGGATTGTGAACTACGCAATGGGAAGAGGGTCTTACCGAGCCCAGCGGCCTGTCAAAGCCACCATCAAAACCTGAGCAGCAAGGGTCTCCAGCTGATAAAGGCAAGGCAAAGGAGACTCGTCGTTCAGGGGCGGGGTCGAACACCGCTTCCAGCAACGAGAGCTCGAAGAGAGCTTCAACACGGCGGCACCCAGGCCGCCGTGGGACACTCGGGGAGAGATCCGAGAAGCCAGACGCGTTCAAATGGACGGGCCATACCTGGTCGTCGTGCGCTGGCCGGACTTAAAAGCAATCTCTAAATACAGGTGGTCTATGAAAGTCAAGTTCAGGCCCCCCTTCAGGAGTATAACTCCGTAAAACACGACTCCGAAAGAGCAGCCCGCGGAATCCCGACAGGGATCGTATATACGCAGCTGCTGGATTTCCCAGCTCGCACGGCGGGCCGCCCCACGCCCGATCAGAAACAGATCGGCGGGGACGAACGATCGGAAAAACGCTCCCAGCGGATGCGCGCAAGCCATCAGCCGCACCAGCAAAGGGATGGAGAGAAGGAAGGCGAAGCAAGAAGGCAGGCGTTGGAGGCTGCAGCAGCGGGCTCCATCGCGGCGGGCGCTGGCTCGGCGCTGCGCCGCCTGGCCGCTCCGCGGCCAGCGCGCCCGCTCGGAGGTCGACGCCACCCGCGGGGGCAATTGAGAAATGGAGGGCGGGGGGCACCTCGTCCCCAGGCGAACGAACTGCAGGACGGGAGGCGCGCGGCAGAGGGCGGCCACGCCCCCTCGTCTTGCGTGGCGGGCGGCGACTCTTTGAAGGGGATGTGCCCTTGCGCCCCCACGCTCCGGCGCTCTCGCGCTCTCGCGCTCTCGCGCCTTCGCGCTGTGCGCCTTGCGCTCCTGCGCGCCCTTCTGCACGTCAGAGCGCTCTCGCGCCTTCGCGCTGTGCGCCTTGCGCTCTTGCGCGCCCTTCTGCCGGTCAGAGGCCCTCGCCGTCGCGTGGGGTGGGGGGGCTGAGCTCCAGGTCCGCTCCGCCGGTGCGTCCGCCCGCGCCCAGCGCGTCGTGCTCCTCGGCGCCGCTCGGGAGCATGAGCGCGCCGGCGCCCGCCACGGTCATTGCCACCGCGCCAGCGGCCAACATGGCGGGGAGCGCCAGCGTGGGCGCCACGAAGCTCTCCATCGCAGCGAGAGTCAGGTGGGTGAACTGCTGGCCGAGCACGAGGCCGCAGTTCAAGAGGGCCATCTGCAACGCGGTGCTGACAGGGAGCCCCCGCTCCTCGGCAGCCTTGTTGCTGGCGGCGATGAGGCCCCAGGGGATGCCCTGCGAGCCCACGCAGGGTAGCACCGACAGCGCCATGCAAGCCGTCGCGAAGTCGGCATTTTGCTTCACGAAGAACGCGGCCGCGTAGCTAACGCCCGCCCCGACAAAGATGCAGGCGGCGTAGACGCCCTTGGGGGGCAGCGAGGTCCTGTGGAGGGCGACGACGAGGAGCAGGGACATGAGCAACTTCAGCAGCGAGCCGCACTGCCCCCCGTACGCGAACGCCTCCTGGCCCGAGGCGTACGAGCGATGAGCCGCGGAGCCTGGGGGGGCGAGGGGATCACCCGCGAACACGCAGAGGCCGAACCACTGCACGGAGTACGAGAGCCACACCGTTGCGCCGACGAACACCAGGCAATGCACGCCGGCCAGCCGCCTCAACAGGAGGGAGCTCCCCCGCACGGCCTTCAGCACGTCCGACACGGGGCTGGACTGCCTGGCGGCGCCGTCGACCGCCAACGGCTTCTCCACGGCCACACAGAGCATGACGGCGACCGCCGCCGTGAGAATGCAGCAAACCACGACAATGATCTCGAGCATGTGCTTCGAGAGGCCGCCGTCGCTGCCGTAGACCTTCATGGTGGAGAAGCCGACCAGGAAGCCGACCGCCTGGAAGCAGGCGACCAGCACCTGCACCTGCACCTGCTGGCCGCTCGACGCGAGGTCCGCCACCAGCACCCTCATGGGCGTCGACAGCGCGTTGAGCGCGATGTCGATGAGCCACAGCATGCAGGCCGCAAAGCCCGCGGCGGCGCTGGCGGGCAGCAGCGCCGCGCTGGAGGCGAAGAGGAGCCCGCACACCCACAGGGCACCGAGCGCGGCCACGATGATGGGCCTCCTTCGCCCGTAGGAGGAGGTCGACGAGTCGGACAGCGCGCCGATCAGCGGGCAGGTAAAGAAGCCGCAGATCGGGCCCGCCATGTTGTTGAGGGTGGCCGAGGCGGGGCTCATCCCGAGCGCCACCAAGTAAGGCGCGCTGCACGGCATGATGACCGACCACACGACCGTAATGGACAGGCACGGGAGCGCGACGAGGCTCAACCGCCACAATGGCCACTCCTTCTGCGCTCCCGACTTGCCGGCGCACCCTGATGGCTCCTTGTTGAGGAGGGCGATGGCTTCCCCCTGCCCCTTCGGCCTCAGACGTGCCGGCGTGCTGATGAGGGCGAGGGCGTCCCCCTGCCCTTTCGTCTGCGCCATCGCACCAACCGCCGACATCCGAATCGGACCCCCCTGAACAGCGGCGGCGTGCCCGCTCGCGCGCGTCCGGGCGTGGGCGAAGGCTGGGATGCAGCGGCTCGACGTCCAGGAAGCCTTGAGCCAAAATGGCTACGGACGAGGAAACCAACATCATTGGTTTTACTAGGGTTTGGACCCCATTTTGGCCTCCTGGGGGGGGCAAGCCTAATTAATGTTCCCCTCTTGTTTGATCGATCTCCTTCAGGATGGCCCCAAGAAGCGCCAAGGAGGTCCCAAGGGGTCCCAGGATGGCCCCAAGATGGCCCCAAGAGGCTCCCAGGAGGCCCCGAAGAGACCCCCAAGAGGCCCCAAAAGACCCCCCAGAGGCACCCAAGATGCTCCAAGAGGCCTCGGCGAGAATGCCAAAACGGCCTCGGCGAGGAAGCCAAACTCATTGGTTTTACTAGGGTGTGGGCCCCATGTTGGCCTCCTGGGGGGGCGAGGCTAATCCGCCGGCCCCCTTGTGGGGCCACCAGGCTGTAGGCGCGAGGTTCGCAGTTTCCTGTACCAGTCGTAGGTTGTAGTTTCCAGTGTTACAGTTCTGCTTCTTGCTGGTTACTGTAACTAGTTGATTGACCGCGCGAGGGGGGGGAGACCCAAACGGGATTTTTAGCACCACCTGGGCGCGTTATCTGAATTGCTGGGGGGCTCGAAATCGACACCCCTCACGCAGATCCGCGGGGTCAGGGTCAAAAAACAAATGGGATTTGCCACATTTCTGAAATTCGGTGCCACCCCTCATGCAGATCCGCGGGGTCAGGGTCCAAAAACACACGGGATTTGCCACATTTCTGAAATTCGGTACCACCCCTCACGCAGATCCGCGGGGTCAGGGTCCAAAAACACATGGGATTTGCCACATTTCTGAAATTCGGTGCCACCCCTCACGCAGATCCGCGGGGTCAGGGTCCAAAAACACATGGATTTGCCACATTTCTGAAATTCGGTGCCACCCCTCACGCAGATCCGCGGGGTCAGGGTCCAAAAACACATGGGATTTGCCACATTTCTGAAATTCTGTGCCACCCCTCATGCAGATCCGCGGGGTCAGGGTCAAAAAACACAATGGGATTTGCCACATTTCTGAAATTCGGTGCCACCCCTCACGCAGATCCGCGGGGTCAGGGTCCAAAAACACACGGGATTTGCCACATTTCTGAAATTTGGTGCCACCCCTCACGCAGCTCCGCGGGGTCAGGGTCCAAAAACACAGGGGATTTGCAACATGTCTGAAATTCGGCGCCACCCCTCACGCAGATCCGTGGTCAGGGTCCAAAAACTCAGGGGGATTTACCACATTTCTGAAATTCGGTGCCACCCCTCACGCAGATCCGCGGGGTCAGGGTCCAAAGACACAAGGGAATTGCCACATTTCTGAAATTCGGTGCCACCCCTCGCGCACATCCATCGCAAGGCGTGGTAACCCAAACTGCGAATACTCCCTCGGCACTTTAATCCCAAGGTGTGGTAACCAAGCTCGTACACCATACACCTCTTACCAATCGCCCTGTGTGGTAACCCCTGTTGTGATCATGGTTTTGCCAATTGCGAATCGGCCTCGCATGAAGTTCCGATACTGCTGCACGACAGCGCCAAAGCCTCATGACTTAGCTCTTCCATGGCCCATTCTCCGAGAGAGGGGGCCGGCCGCAGGGGGCGAAGCCCTTACGGATTAAATCTAAGTTGTGTCCCCCTCTTGTTTGATCGATTTCCCCCAAGATGGCCCCAAGAAACGCCCAGGAGGCCCCAAGAGGTCCCAGGATGGCCCCAAGATGGCCCCAAGAGGCCCCCAAGACGCCCCCAGGAGGCCCCCAAGAGACCCCCAAGAGGCCCCCAAGAGACCCCCCAGAGGCACACAAGATGCTCCAAGAGGGCTCGGCGAGAATGTCACATCATTGATTTCACGAAGGTTTTAGCCACATGTTGGCCTTTTTTGGGGGAGCACTGATTAAGCTGACTCCACGAGCGCCTGGGAGAGCCCAGGATGACCTCCAAAATGGCTCAAGATATCCCAAGATGTCTCATACTGGCTTCCTCCGTGTGCTGCCCACTTCCCTGATCCAGGCAATTCCTCTGGGCATCGTTTCTGGATGGGCTGGTGAGGATTCTTTTTTGGTCAGCGACTCCAAGGCGACCGCCAGGGAGCGGGGGCGACGTCCGGGGCGACGGAACGGTGCGAATTTGCGAACACGGCCGCCAGTGTCGGCAAGCCAGCTCACATAACTACAACAGAAGCACCTGCAGTAGGACATGCAATGAAAGCAAGCGCACGTGCAATAAGCAAAATGCTCTACATTCGGCAGCGGAGAGTCGCCCTGCTGGCGCCAGTCCGCGCGGCCAACCTAACCCGGGCAGGTAGTACCAGGGTGCCACAGCCGTATCGTTGTCGGCAAAGACAAGGCAGAAGAGGCATAACCTACAGAGTGCTCACTCCGCGATCCACACCGTTGCCCATGGTGGGGCCGGCCAGCCAGCGATTCCGAAACCACTCACGAGTCTGAACCACGATGAAAGGACGCGCCTGCCCAAGCGTCAGTACTGCAGCCACCGGGTAACGGGTGAGGGTGCCAAGGTACGCTGCAGCCGCAGCCAGCTGGAAGCGTAGAGGTGTAGCCAAGACTGGACCTGCCACAACCAGACCACGATGCGAGTCGGTGATCTGCAGGTACAGAACCGCTCACACACTCCGCGGACCGCTCCACAGCTGAGAGCGGGGGCCGGCGTGTCGTCACCGTACCGATGCCACTAACAGGTCGGGGTCGCAACGATGAGCAAGAACACGCTGGCCCAGGCCGGTGTACTGCAACTCGCGGAGACCGAATGCAGAACAGACCAGACCAACGCGTGGAAGGCCGAACCACTCAGCGCGAGGTTTTGCAGGGACCTACAGAGTCCCACTCCACCATCCACACCGCTGCCCATGGTGGGACCGGTGCGACAGCCATCGTCCCGAAACCAGTCACGGGCAAACTGGCGGGGACGCTGGTGGGGAAGGCAGGTAGTACCGAAGCGACACGCTGAAGGCTGAACCACTCAGTGCGAGGTACCACCGCCGTACGCACACGCAGGCCCAAGCGCCAGTACTGCCGGCAAGCGGGTAACGGCCGAAGGTCGCCGAGGTACGCTGCAGTCGCGGCCAGCACATAGGCGCTCGGGTGTAGTCAGGGCTGAATCTGACCACGGAGAGAGCCGGGGGACGAAAAGTACCAACAGAGCATTCACTCCGCGGACCGCACCGCTGCCTGGGGGGGGGCCGGTGTGCCGCCATCGTATCCGAAACCAGTGCCTGGTCGGGGCAGCAACGATGAGAGAGGACACGCTGGCCCAAGGGCCGGTAGACTGCAGCCGCAGGTACCGGCCACGCTGGGGGGTGCAGCCAACAGCCGCAGTGCTCACATTTCCGTCAGGAGGAGGAGGAGGAGGAAGGGAGGCGCAGCCGAAAGCCGCATTCACAACTGTATTGACACAGGAGGACGGGGGGGGCCGGCCAACAGCCGCTATGCCGCTTTGTAAGGTCGCCACTTCCCTCGTCATCTGGCGGCCTCCCGGGGGAGAGACCCGCCAATGCGAGGGGCAGTCCAGGCGCCTGTCCCCATGGTGGGTGGACAGCGCTGTCCGCATCTGTGGGCTGAATGGTCTCCTCATGGCCCTCTCTAGGGTCCCCCTCCACCATCGCCTCTCGATTCCCCTCTGGGACTCGGAGTCGGATGGCACCAGCTACTGGGAGGCTCGGACTCCTGTACGACTGGTTGGGTTTTTTTTTGGTCGGGGGCTCCAGGGCGAAGGACATGGAGCGGGTCAACGTCCGGGGCGCGGAACGAAGATAAAAAACTGGTGGGGATTCGCGAAGCGTCAACAATTAGGTTTCTGCTCTCTTTTGCGCGTCGCTGATTTAACTGTCCAGCTGCTCAGACTGTCTGATTCTGAGTTTCCAGAGGCCGAAAGGCGGCTGGTTGCAAGGTGCGCCCCTCAGCAGCGGGCCCAGTGCAAGTATTAGATAAACCTGTGTCCGCCGCTACGCTTCCCCAAGAGGAGGAGGAGAGGCGAGCAGGAGGAGAGGAGGGGCGGGGAGGAGGAAGAGGAGGGGGAACCGGGATGGACCACCAGGGGCGGCGTTCCAGGGCATGATGGATCCAGGAGAGGCGGGCTTCCTCGTCATTTCCCTCCCTCGTCGTCCTCCCCTCGTCCTCCTCCCCCTCTGCCTCCGCCTCCGCTTCCGCCCGCGCCTCCGCCTCCACATCCTCCTCGTCCTCGTAAGGGGAGGGGAGGGGAGGGGAGGGCAGGGGGTCTTCGGAAGCTCTCTGAGGTTGCCGCTTTCTGCTGCGATCACAGGCGGTGTTCGCAGGTTTCGGGACGAAGAGGAGGAGAGAGGGGATGAGGGAGGAGGACGGGAGAGGGAAGAGGAAGGCAGGGGGATGAGGATGGGAGAGAAAACGGGGGAGGCCTTCGGAGGCTCTCAAAAAAGGTTGCCCTGTGCTGCACTCGTTGGCAGTTTCCGCAGGTTCCGGGTTGAGGAGGAGGAGGAGGAGAATGGTGGAGAGGAGAGTGAGTAAGGAATGTGCTCGGAGTGTATCAAAAACTGGTTGTGATGTTCTCTCTCTTTGTCCTCTCTCTCTCTCACTCTCTCTCTCTCTCTCCCCTTTCTTTATTTATGTGTTCATGTATGTCTCTCTCCCTCGATTTGACGATCCGAAGATGTTTCCAGCTTCTGGAGGTTTCTGGAGGCGACTGGAGGACAGAGCAGTGAAGAAGAGGCGGCAGCAGAGGTTAGCGTAAACGCCACTGAGGCCCTGCGATGGGGTGATGTATGCGCGTCCGAAGGCTCAGACGGACACGGGGCCTGCCCAGGGCGCCCCCCTGACAGGCCCGCGATGGAGGAGAGGTGCTGCAGGTGGTAGGCGTTCACAGTGTTGAGCTGAATTGAAAACAGTGGGCGGGGAACGGGGGGGTTCTTGACTCCGAGTCATTCCGAGCCACCCTACTACAGACATGCCTCTGCGGGAGGAGAACACACACACACACACACTACACAACACTCTCGAACGAGAAAGAAGAGGCGGGAGACGCGCGGGGCGGAGGGGGGGGAGCGGCAGTCCTGATACTCGTCGAGCGGGCGCGCGGGCGAGCGAGGAAAGGTACCCCCTCGGTCATGGCCTTCGCGTACTCGATCGAATAGCGCCGCCACCCCCCAACAAAACAGAAGACAGGGCGGGCGAGGGAACATGATATTGCAACCTTGCCGTTCACAGGCCAGCCCATAAACATGACAACAGGTCGTTCGGTACGCCGTCGTTGCTTTAGTTCGGAGCCAGGTTTGCACTTGTCTCCTGTGCCTGCCTGCGTCCGCGACCCCGTGTCTGATGGGCGGCGCCCCGCGGCCAAGGCGTCCTGGATGTCCTCTTGGCGACGCGCACAAAGGGGTGGAGGAAGGGGGAGGGCTTCTTAGAAGGAGGCTGCTTCTCAGAAGGCGCCGGCCTTACATCTATAGATAAGGCCCGCGCCTTCTAAGAAGCAGGGGTGCTTCTAAGAAGCCATCCCCCCTCCCTCAACCCAAACCTTCCTCCTCCTCTCCAATCCTCCTCCTCCTCCTCCTCCTCCTCCTCCTCCTCCTCCTCCTCCTCTCCTTCTCCTCCTCCTCCTCCTCCTCCTCCTTCTCCTCCTCCTCCCACCTCTGCGCGTGGCTGACTGATGGGCGGCGCCCCGCGGCCGAGGTGGTCTGGGTGTCCTCCCAGCGCACGGCGAGGCCCGGGCGAGAGGGCGCGGGACGAGGCCGGGGACGGCAAGCCGCCCGCGGCCGCGGCGGCGGCGGCCAAGACCACGGCCACGACTCGGGCGTTGTTGCGTGATAAGGGGGCGACGAATTTAAGCAGGGACCGAGCGTCCCGGCATTACTATAGGCCTACCACGACATGTTCTTAGATTCTGAGAACCAAACAATGCGTTTCGAACATAAACCCGGTGTGAAGAAAACCAAGACAGTCCCAGCCAGAAATGCTCTAAGAACATGTCGTGAAAAGGTTATTACAACATTGTTTGGTTGGCCTGTCGGCACGCCAGGACGCTTCGCCACTACTTGACAATTGGTGAGGAGGAGGAGGAGGAGGAGGAGGAGGAGGAGGAGGAGGAGGAGGAGGAGGGGAGGGAGGGGGGGGGGGGGGGGGGGGGCAGACGTGCACAGCAGACGTTTCTGCCTGCGCCCGTGACCGCAGCGCAGACGAGGGCTCCGGTCCGGCGGCGGCGCCCCCGCCCAGGGAGGGCCCCCGCCCGGCGGCCAGGGCGCGGCGCTCAGAAGGCCGGCTCGGGCTTGGCCCCCGCCTGTTTCTCCTGGGCGCAGGGCCGGCCGAGGGGGAGGCGGGCCGGCGCCCGCGGTGGGGCTCGGCATGCTCCGAAGGCCAGAAGCCCTGCGCTCCCCAAGCTTGCTCTCTCTCTCTCTCTCTCTCTCTCTCTCCTCCTCCCTCGCGATCTGTCTCTCTCTCTCTCTCTATCCCTCTCCCTCTCTGTCCATATGTCGATTTCCCTGCACATATCTACATGTTTAGATGTCCCTACACCTATGTATGTATGGATGTGTATATATATAATAAGGCTATATGAATACAGGTACATAAGAGAGTACGTACAGGTATAAATATATGAAATATCCCCCTGCCTGAATCCCCTCTCCTTTCCCCACTCCCTTTCCAAACTCCCTCGCACCCTCCAATCCCTCGTTTCCTCCTCTCCTTCCTCCAGCCTGGAAGGAGGCGAGAGGGGAGGAGGAAGATGAGAACCCTGAGACGGACTCGGACACAGAACGAGCCCTTCAGTACTCCAACGCGCGCATTGGCCCTGAGTAAACAAGACTGTGGCCACGGAAGCAGGGTGGAAAGGGGAGAGAAGGAGGCGACATTGCTGCCGCCCCCCTTCCTCCTCTCCATGACTCCAGCCACCCTCCCCCCTCCCCTCCACCCCTCCGCCCCCTTCCGACGGCTGAGGCAAGCCGTGGGCGCGGCACGGGCGCAGCATGGAGCGGCGCGCGCAGGAGCGACATCGGGCAGCCCAGCGCAGGCACGGGCAGGCGCACGTCGAAAAATCACGACGCCCGACGGCCAGGGAGGAGGAAGGATGATAGGGGAGGAGGAGGAACGTGGAGGACGAAAGAAAGAAGGAGAACAAGGAGCAGAAGAAGGGAAGGGAAGGGAGAAGGGAGGAGGAGGAGGAGGAGGAGCAGAAGGAGGAGGAGGAGGAGGAGGAGGAGGAGGAGAAGGGAGGATGAGGAGGAGAAGGAGGAGGAGGAGGCGGAGGAGGACGAGGAGGAGGAGGAGGGGGAGGAGGGAGGAGAAGGGAGGAAAAGGGAGGAGGAAGAGGAGAAGGAGGAGGAGGAGGAGGAGGAGGAGGAGGAGGAGGACGGCCGGCGGCCAGTTTGGCTGGGTTTCTTGAGGCCCCTTTCGGGGCGCCATGGCCTTCAGAAGACGTTCCGAGTCGAGAGCGTCTGGGGCCGCGACGTGGAACAAGTCTCGACGTCGGAGGTGACAAGAAAACCAGGGCTGGGGCTCGCTGGCTGACCCGCCGACTGCCAGCGGAACAGGCGACAACAGCGATACTTAGACAGGCAGGGGGAAACACAGAGGGGCTGGACAGTGGAAACTGGAAGTTCAATGAAAGTCGAGGTGACCAAGGCTAGAGCCTCTCTTGGCACAGGGCCGGATCGAGACCGAAGCAGTTGGGACGAGGTCGCCAGGGCTGGTACAACTACTAGAGGGAAACTGGCAAGGGCTGGAAACAGTGGAAAGGCTGGCCACAGCCGCTCTTCCCAGCTGCCCAGTGCCAGGAGGCTGGAGGTACACATGGCTGGGTTCACAAATGGGGCATCCTGAAGTCGCACGCTGGATACACATGCAGAAGCCCTGCGTGCTCGGCCGTGCAAGGGCCAAGCGCCTGAAAGACAGCTGGTCACGTGCGTATCCAGCTCTCGCTAAGGCTGGCCGCGCTACGTGTATTCAGCCTGCTTGCGGAGCAACGGCACCACCACAAACCGCAACATAGTCGGCACGATGCACGGGGGGGGGTTCTGAGCAGGCCGGCAAGCAGGGCAGGGCCCGGCAGGGGCGACAGAGGAGGAAAACCGGGAGGAGCAGGAAGAGACCAGGGGAGACGGGGAGAAGACAATTTTAACATTCACCTCTGCTGGCAACCTCTGTGGGACAACCAGAAAAGACCTTTGGCGAGGCTGACACCGAACGGCGAACGGAGAAACAATCAACCCAGACGAGAAGACGAGAAGGGGAGGGAAGGGGGAGAAGGGACGGAGCAGGAAAAGAAGGGGATGAGCATAAAAAGAAAGGAAGGAGCAAGCAGAGATGGGAACATGCGCGCCAGCAACAGCACCAGGATTGGGACAAGGACAGAACGCGACAAGCGAAGTCAAGACAAAAAAGGTGCATGCATGACGGGATGATACTGGACAAAATATTGAGAGCATGTCCGCACATGGCACCGAGGGGCAAGAACGGGTAATACAAAACAGACGGGCTCACGAAGACATGGGAACGTGGAGGCAAAAATTCGCAGAGAGAGAGAGAGGCGGGGGAGAGAGAGAGAGAGAGAGAGAGACTCGACCAGGGACCAGGTGGAGGACCCAAGGCAGGCTCGAGGGTTCCTCCGCCAGCTTGCGCCGCTTGGCCTGCAACCGCTCGCGGTAAATGGTCGGGCGCGAGCTGAAGAAACCGCCCCCGTCGCCATCCAATTCATCCTCGCGGTGGCAGGCACAGTAGTGAAGAGGGAGCGGAAGGACGGGAACGGCTCAGGGAACATCGACCTTGACCAAATGTATATCGCCAACTGTTCGGCGATATGATCCCAATCGCGAAGCTGCACGGTTATCTAACACTACGACCGCTACCTCCACGTAAAAGAGCCCGTGGAAAATCAACCTCATTTCCTGGGATACCCTTGATTCGAAAGAAAGTCTTCTGTGTACGTTTCGCTGGTGCAAGATCCCAACCTCCCCCGCTCTGGAACCACTACGCCCCCTTCGGAAATCCTCCCCTACTCTCCAGAACCGTGCCCCCCGTCCCCTCTTCCCGGCGAACCCCCGCCCAACCCCTCCCCCCTCCGAAAGCCGGGGGGCTCAAACCCTCGCGCCCCCCTCCTGTCGCGTCGTGGTCGTGGTCGTGGTCGCGGTCGTCGTCGTTAAGTCCGTCGGGCGGGCGGGACACGACGTCCTATCGTAATCGCTGTCGTCGTCGTCGTCGTCGTCGTGGTCGTTGTCGTCGTCGCCGTCGCCGCCGCCGCCGCCACCGCCGTCGCTGGCGTCGTCGTCGTCGTCGTCGATTTCGTGGGCAAGTCCGTCGGGCGGGCGGGCGGGCGGGATGGGGGGGCACGTCGCCGACGTCATCGCTGGCGAGTCGGAGCGGGCGGGACACGTCGTCGTCGTCGCAGTCGTTGCCTGGCCCTCGTCGTCGTCGTTTGTCGGCGCCGGGCGGGGCGCCGGAGCGGAGCCAAGGAGGGGAGGGCGACCCCGCCCCTGACTGTCACTCTGGAAGGCGGGGGACGGGTCTCGACCCCCCCCCCCAGGGTTTGGGGGAGGGAAAGGGCGGGTTCGAGACCCCTCCCTCACCCCCTTCGCTTTCTCCCAGCGCACTCAAAACACGTTTGTTCTTTTTTTTTTTTCGCTCTCGCCTCGCCCTCCCGGCCCTTGCCAAGCTCGCGACCGCGGAGGCCCCCGTCGAAAGACCTTCCCCCCCGCGGGGGTCTCCCGGGCAGCCGGCGCAGGAGCAGTAGCAGGACGACGGCGGCGAGGACCCCATGCGTCAACTCGCAGCCTGCTCTCTCCCGCAAAGCCCCGGTCGTGCCAGAGGTGCCGGCAGCTCGCTGCAACGCGCCGACCCCGCGGTCATTTGTCACGTGGATGTCGGCGCGCTTCTCGATGAACGCTTCGACCTCGTCTGCGACGGCCGCCCATGTCGCCGCCGGGAGCGGCGCGCTGCCCTTCGAGCCCCGAGCCTCAAGATCCGCGCCAGCGCTCGCCAGAGCGCTGGCCACCGCTCGCTGAGGCCCGCCCCTAGGCGCGCCCCCACCAACCCAAGAAAAGGCGCCGACCATAAAACGCGCAAATCGAATAAGGCGCGCGCGGCATGCAGCAAATCTACCAAATGCCCCCACACACACACACACACACACACACACACACACACACACACACACACACACACACACACACACACACACACACACACACACACACACACACACACACACACACACACACACACACACACACACACACACACACACACACACACACACACACACACACACACACACACACACACACACACACACACACACACACACACACACACACACACACACACATACCACCACCACATACCACCATACCACCCACCATACCACCATACCACCATACCACCCCACATACCACCACTACCACACCACCATACCACCACCACCACCATACCACACCACCACCACCAACCACCACCACCACACCACCACCACCACCACCACCACCCACCACCACCACCACCACCACCACCACCACCACCACCACCACCACCACCACACGCCGCGCGCAACGACCAGCTGCTGCGAGCGCTGGGTTGCCAGGCGCTTCGCGGCCTGGCCTGCAACGCGGCGCGCGGCGCTGCCCGGCTCTGAGCCTGCGATGCAAGGGCAGCTCGCGGCGCCATTGCCCTACGCGCCGCAGCGAAAGCGCGCGGCGTGGCGCGCGCTGGCCTCGACCGACGGGCTAGACCATGTCCCCGCGCGCCAGTGCGTCACGATGGAATGCGTCGCGCGGCACTGCAAGACTGGGGCGGCGGCCAGAAGGGGGCGTCCGAAAACGCCCGCCCCCGAGAGAGTCGGACGCTCAGGTCTGGCAGCTGGCCGCGCGGAGGAAGCGTCGCACCAAAAAAACGAAAATGAAAACTCGCCGCGACGCGCGAGCAGCGCGCCGCGACAAAAGTCGCGAACATCCGCGGCGAAAGGTCGGCCGCAAAAGCTGCCGCAAAGCTTCGCCGCGCATGTCGCGGCAACGCTGTGCCCGCGCATTGCCGCGCAACTGCGCCGCGGGGGCCGAGCGGCCGAGGGCGGCGACGCAGCGCGCGAAAAGCTGAATTAAAAGCCAGCCAGAAAAGGCCCCCGACCTCCGCCGCGCGAGCGCCCCCGCGAAGGGGAAATCATTGCGCGGCCTGCGACGGCGTTGAGCTGCGTGCGTCTGCGCGCGGCGAGGGCCACCTCGGCGCCGCCCCCTTAATGGCGCGCGATTGCGGGTTCTAGTCGGGGCCCTGTCTCGGCATGCTGTTGTTGATGTACACCGGAGGCCCTGCGCTAGGACGCCGCGCGCCGGCGCCGACGTCTCCGGGCGCGCTGGCGGGCCAGCGGCCCAGCCGAGGCCGCGCGCCCTCGATGTCTAGCGCTGCCCCGGCCCGCCTGGAATTGCGCGGCTGGGCCGCTGCCCAATCTAATAACTCGATGCTCTGCTGCGCGCCGCGCGCCGCTCTACGCGCGCGAACGCAATCGCCGGTCAGCGACTCCCCTGAGAAACCGCCCGACGCGCGACGGAGGGCGCAAGACCCGCCATCGTCGTCTTCAGCGCCTGCTTGTTTCTCCGACCCCCCACGCAAAAAACACGCTTCCAACCCGGCCGCCCCGCCCCCCCCCGCCGAGCGCCCGGCCCGCGCCGCGGACGCCCTGGGCGCGTCGGGGCGCGCCTCCTAGCCGCGTCGAGGACACGCGCGGCCCCCACTCCGCGAACGCCAACCCCCGCGCAATCGCGTGCCTCGCATGCCCAGCCCCATCTCGCCGGCAGGCTCGCGGGCGCGTTCGCGTGCAATTCTTTTTCGAGTTCATGCTTGCACTGCTGCAAATTGTTAAACGCATTTTGCAATGATCTCGTCGCCGCCCAGATCTCGTTGAATTGATACTGGCGCCTGCGCGGCCCCGCGTGGCAGCGCTGCCCCAATGAGCGACGCGTCGCCGCCATTGCGCCCCACTCGCTTCGAGCCAGCGCAGGCATCTACCGCGCGGCGCAAAGGGGCCAGCCGCGGTCGCCCGCGCGGTCGATGTCACGGACGCGGCAAGGCCAAGGCCCCCCCCCCCCCCCATCACCCCCTCCATCCCCGCGCACCCCCCCCTCGCCCCCCTCCCCGCCCTGCCCGCGGTCAACGCGCCGCCCCCCCCCCGCCCTCCGCCAGCCGCCCCCCCCCCCCCCTCGACCCCTGCCGGAAGCGAGGGCCTGCTCGGGCCCCTCCCGTCAACTCGAGGCCAGGGCAGCCCGCGCCCTGGATGCCGCCCGCGCGGGCTCGCCAGCCTATCCACGGGAGACGGTCATCCTTTCCCCCGCCGCGGGGGGGAACTCACGGGCTCCGCGCCGGGCCTGCGACCCGCGCGGTCGGGGGGCGTCGCGAGGGGAGCTTCCTCCGCCAACGACTTGAGTAGCGCGGGGGAAAGGCTTCGTCGGGCCACTAGCGGTCGCGGCTGGAAGCCTCGCTCTTCGCGGCCAGGGCAACCGCGCACCTGGGGCAGCCAGCCATGCACCTCGAACAGGTGGGGGGGTGCCGCCCCCGCGCCCCCCATCTTCAGCGAGGGCTGTTCGCCGCGTTCGTTGGGCGGGGCGGGCCCTTGTTAGCGGGCAGATTCAAAAACGTCGCTGGCGCCCCCCCGGATTTTACCGATGCGCTCTGCTTGCGGGAATTCAGAGAATCCGGGCCTCGCGGAGACGGCTGCCTCCGCTTGCGACGAACTCCTCTTCGTGCGCGCCGCGCGCGTGCAATGGGCCCCCCGCGCCTGCCCCTTCTGTTCGCGGATGGGCTCTGCGTCCAGGGGCGCGCCCCTTTCGCCGAGCCCATCGTCTCCCAAGCGACCCCTGGCTCCGCTCGCCGAAGCTGCGGAGGTCGTTCGCGACGGCGCTCGGCGGTCACTCGCGCGACCAGTTGCAGGAGGCAGGGCGCCGACGCCTCGTCGAGCCCCGGAGGGGGGCCAGGCAAAACGATTTCGGGCGAACGGCAGACGATTTGGGAGGGGGGAGGCATAGACTCACAAGGATTCGCGGGCCCGGATGAAGAAGATGCCGCACTTGCCACCGCTGGCACAGGCGCGTGACCGCGGGCTCTGACCGAACCAACTGGGTCCGACAGCTTCTCGCGCTTTGCTGTCTGGTGCAGACGCTGCAAGCACCTGGAGACCAGCGTCGTCGCATACTTCAATAGAGCCTCCAGGAACGTCTGGATTTCGCGCCCCATGAATATCGCTGGGTCTCTGCCAGACTTCCTCGAATAGAACGAGATCTGCCTCATTGCCTTGACCGTGAGCAGGCGGAGGCCCGCATCCCTGATCGAACGTGCAATTCTGAGACGCCCCCGCTAATACATTCTGTCCTGGCGGCAGAACTGAATGAGTTCGCACTTCTGCTCGACTGCGCAGCCGTCGTAGTCCGACCGCGCCTGGGCCACTGCCTGCTGGTTCGCCGCGCCGACCGAATCGCCGAAGCTGCGGGGGCCTCTGAGCAGGCCGCCGGTCGCCCGCGTGCGCGGGGGGCCGGGTTTGTGTTTCTTGTCCTCGGCTGCGGTTTCCGCGGCGATGGCGACGGCCTGCTCGTTCATCATCGCGGTTGGAGCCGCGACCGCGGGCGGCAGGAACGCGGTCGAAGACTCCCGAGAGATCTCGGCACTGCTGGTTGAGCTTCAAGATGAGCTGCATCCTGAGTGCGAAGAGCTTCTTCTGCTTGTC